AAAAACTCTAATTAACATATGTAAATGCCACATGCATGATTTAAACCTTTTAAAAATTCGAATAGTCATATATAAGTAGCATATGAAAGATAGTAAATTAAATTGTGAAAAACTCTAATATATGAATGATAGTTTTAAAAATATATTAAATTTAATACTTTTAAAAATTCTCCAGTCAATTATAATTAGCATATGAATGATAGTAAATTAAATGTTAAAAACTCTAATTAACATATGAAATTGCCACTTGCGTGATTTAAAACTTTTAAAAATCCTCTAGTCAATTATAATTAGCATATGAATGCTAGTAAATTAAATGTTAAAAACTCTAATTAACATACATATGAAATTGCCACCTGTGTGATTTAAAACTTTTAAAAATTGTAAGTATCACATATAACTAACATATACATGATTTAAACTTGTTGAAACCTCTAATAATCGTGCGTAATTAACAAATGCCATACATCAATTGATTTATATGGATAATCAATACATCCAAAATAGTTTACATCGTGTACACAATAATTACGGCATTACATCGGCGGTGACGGTTGACCGCACGTACTTTCTCCTCACTATTGTTCCCTCCTTGTGATCGCTGCGTGAGTAAGGGGTGTCTTCATTTGATAGGAGGATGCTAGGGTCAATCGTCACCGTGAAAGGGGGTTGCCCATCCAACTGATCGTAATCCTCGTCAGTCTTGTCCTCAACTCCGACGATTTTTCTTTTGCCTGGGAGAACCACTTGACGCTTAGGCTCATCAGGCCCTCTGCCCTTCTTTCCTTTGCTAGACATGTCCTTCACGAAAAAGACTTGCGTTACATCATTGGCAAGGACAAAAGGTTCGTCCGAGTATCCAACCTTGTTAAGGTCAACAGTTGTCATCCCACTGTCATCAATCATTACGCCTCCACCAGTCAACCTAACCCATTGGCACCGGAACAGAGGAACCTTGAGAGGACCATAGTCAAGTTCCCATATGTCCTCGATGGCACCGTAATACGTGGCAGTTGTTCCATCGTGTCCCATGGCATCGACACGAACAGCGCTGTTTTGGTTCGTGCTCTTCATGTCTTGGGCTCTCGTGTAGAATGTGTACCCATTGATCTCATATCCCTGGAATGTCGCGATAGACCCAGACGGTCCCCTCGCCAGGAAGGCAAGTTGTTGGTTGATCGACTCGTTACCCATGAGATGTTGTCGTAGCCACGCGGGGAAAGTATCAATGTGATGCCGTGTAATCCATGCATCGGACTTACCGATGTTCCTGGCGCGAACTAGAGCCAAGTGCTCCTCGATGTAAGGAGCTACCAATGAAGAGTGTTGCAGAACAGTGAAATGGGCTTTACGGAATAAATTGTTGTCTACCGTCATTATTGCTTTCCTTCCGAGAGTTCCCTTTCCCCGTAGTCTCCCTTCATGGCGTGATTCAGGTACCCCGATTGGGCGAAGGTCTTCGATAAATTCTACGCAAAATTCGATGACCTCCTCTGTTCCATAACCCTTGGCGATGCTTGCCTCTGGACGAGCACGGTTACGAACATACTTCTTCAGAACGCCCATGTACCTCTCGAAAGGAAACATGTTGTGTAGGTACATAGGCCCGAGAATACGGATCTCTTTCACAAGGTGACAAAGCAGATGCGTCATTATATTGAAAAATGAAGGTGGAAATATCAACTCAAAACTGACGAGACATTGCACCACTTCATTCTGAAGGGCTTCTAATCTATCCGGATCGATGACCTTCTGCGAAATTGCGTTCATGAATGCACATAGCTTTGTTATTGTTGCCCGGACATTGTCTGGAAGGATACCCCTTATTACAACTGGTAGCAGTTGTGTCATCAACACGTGACAGTCATGAGACTTTAGGTTTGTGAACTTCTTCTCCTTCGTGCTTATTATTCGCTTGATATTCGTGGAGTATCCAGACGGTACCTTTATGCTCTCCAAGCATTCAAACATACTTTCCTTCTCTGCCTTGCTAAGAGTGTAGCTGGCTGGACTCAAGTAATGGCTTCCTTTCTCCTTTGGTTCCGGGTGAAGGTCGCCGCGTTGTTCCATATGCTTCAGATCATTACGTGCTTCCAGTGTATCTTTCGACTTTCCGTATACACCTAGGAAGCCAAGAAGGTTTACGCAAAGGTTCTTAGTGAGGTGCATCACGTCGATTGCGTGGCGTACGTCCAAGAATTCCCAATATGGTAACTCCCAAAATATAGAGTTCATTTTCCACATCGCCGCGTGACCATCTTCGCTCTCTATATGCTGGCTTCCAGGCCCCTTTCCGAACACTACTTTAAGATCTTTAACCATAGCAAACACTGTTTTCCCGCTGCGATGTTTAGGCTTCGTACGGTGGTCGGCCTTATGTTCGAAGTGCTTGCCTTTCTTCCGTACCGGGTGGTTTGCTGCAAGGAATCGACGATGACCCATGTATACAACCTTCCTACAGTGCTTAAGATACGTACTTTCTGTTTCATCCATACAGTGAGTGCAAGCCTTGTACCCCTTGTTGGACTGTCCGGATAGGTTGCTAAGTGCAGGCCAATCGTTGATGGTTACGAACAGCAGCGCTCGTAGGTTAAACTCCTCCTGTTTGTCCTCGTCCCACACGGGGACACCTTCCTTCTTCCACAACTGTTTAAGATCTTCGACCAGTGGTCTTAGTTACACGTCGATGTCGTTACCAGGTTGCTTGGGGCCTTGAATAATAATCGGCATCATTATGTACTTCCTCTTCATGCATAGCCAGGGGGGAGGTTGTAGATACACATCGTAACGGGCCAAGTGCTATGGCCGCTGCTCATCTCTCCAAAAGGATTCATGCCATCCGTACTCAAACCAAACCGTATGTTTCGTGCGTCCTTTCCAAATTCTTTAAATTTTCTGGCGATGTTTCGCCACTGCGAACCATCGGCGGGGTGTCTCAGCATCCCGTCCTGTTGACGCTCTTCAGCGTGCCATCGCAACATTCTAGCATTCCCCTTGTTCCTGAACAAACGCCTTAGCCGTGGTATTATAGGGAAATACCACATCACCTTAGCAGGAATTCTCTTCTTTGTTAGCTGCCCGTCAACTTCTCCTGGATCGTCCCGTCTAATCTTGTATCGTAGTGCTTTGCAAACAGGGCATGCTTCTAGGTTCTCATACTCCTCACCGCGATATAGGATACAATCGTTCGGACATGCGTGAATCTTATGAACTTCCAGTCCTAACGGGCAGACTATCTTCTTAGCCTCGTACGTTGTCTCGGGCAATTTGTTCCCCCCGGAAGAATGTTCTTGACGAGTTTCAATAAATCGCCAAATGCCTTGTCACTAACCCCATTTTTTGCCTTCCATTGCAACAACTCCAGAGTGGTATCCAACTTTTTGTGCCCCTGCTCGCAACCTGGGTACAACGAAGTTCTGTGGTCCTCCAACATCTTGTCCAATTTATGGGCCTCCTTTTCACTTTCGCAGTCTTCCCTGGCGTCCTACAACATCTGACCAAGATCATCCGCAACGTCGTTACCATCAGCAGCTATTTCCTCCTCGCCCGTTTGATTTCCTTCAAATCCAACATACTGAGCAAAGTCCGGAATATTGTCGTCTTCCACTTCATCTTCTTCCACTTCAACACCTTGCTCTCCGTGGGATGTCCAACAATTATAGCTTGGCATGAACCCCGACTCAAACAAGTGGAAATGAATAGTCCTGGATGCAGAATACTCCTTCTGATTCTTACACTTATTGCATGGACAACAAATAAAACCCCTTTGCCTGTTAGCTTCGGCCACTCTCAAAAAATAGTGCACGCCGTCAATAAACTCTTTGGACCGCCGGTCAGCGTACATCCATTGCCGATCCATCTACATGAGTCAAAAAAACCGCACACAAATAATTATTCTTACAATAATGACAATCATACAATAATTATAAGATATCTTTATTCATACAAAAATCATAAAATATTACACCAAATAATTCTTAAAAACTATTTGTAAAGTTTTAAACTAATTTTAATGTGTTTTACTTCTTTTAATTTTTATTTTAATTTGTTTTCTATTATTTAATATTAACTTTCACTAGAGTTTTCCTTCTCAACTATTTTATAAAACCTTGTTTAGCAAATGAACTAAATTTCTATATATTCTTTCTTCCCCACACACATTTTCTCTCTCATCAACTTACAACTAAATTTTGGAGACAAAAAAAGTGTGCAAAACATAGGTGCAAATGTAGTATGACAAAAAAAACATTGGAGGATGAAGTTGCAAACCTTTTAGGCACCTCCGATTTGTATGTAATCACCAAAATAAATTCAATAGAAATATTGGCATGACCTCCCCTCTTTTTTGAAGAAATTTTAAAGCTTGCTCGGGCAGCTGGAGGAGGAAGAAGACATATATATAGGGGTGGGACTTTAGTCCCGGTTGGTAGCACCAACCGGGGCTAAAGATCACCGGGATCATTAGTCCCGGTTGGTATTACCAACCGGGACTAAAGTTAAGATCTTTAGTCTCGGTTGGTAGCACCAACCGGGGCTAAAGATCACCGGGATCTTTAGTCCCGGTTGGTAGTTAAGATCTTTAGTCCCGGTTGGTGCTACCAACCGGGACTAAAGATCCCGGGGGGGCCTGACAGGTCCTGACAGCATTCGAACCGGGACTAAAGATCAAATATGCCCGTTACCCTTTTGAACCGGGACTAAAGATCATCTTTAGCCCTGGTTTTTATTGCATCCGGGCTTATTGTGGAAATCGGCCGACCGACAAAAGATGGTTTCTCCACCAGTGTATCAATCAATCGAATCGTTCTTTTCATATTGCTTTTAGCTTTCTCTTAGTTTGTCCATCTTTGTCAGTTTGCGTCGTAAACCGTCCGCCGCCGCTGCGAGAGTGCGACATCTCTTTGTAGGTTTGTCCAGAAAACCTTCCGTTTTGCCCACGAGACGGGTAGTTATCTAGAAATCTGCTCCGCTAGCCGGTTTAGTTATCAAAACCCATCTAGGTTTAGCTCTTTGCTAGATCGAGGTGGTTGGCGACTCTAGGATCACCACAAAGCTTAAGGTGCTGCGATCGTTGTTGTCAACTTGTCACAGAAAGTTGCCAACAGTTGCATCATCCCATTCAAAAACACTTACAGTTCCACAGATAATTCTGGCTAAAATATTTCAGTGTTTTCTTCTGTGATTAACAATCACTACTCTGTACTACTAGTAAACACTGCAAGTCTATCTTCTCCGATCAGGTCGGGGATGAGTTATGACGCGATCCAATGGTCTCATATTCAAGATTTCCTTGATGTAGAATGCAGCAGCATGAAGAACGACGACGGTGATCGCGACGGCGACGATGTCAGCTCAGCCTCAGAGACGCCGCCGGCCAGCACGGTGGATGCTGCAGCTATGGCCAGCAAGATCAGGACGGCCGCGCGGCGGCTTCGAGCTCTGCTGGATCGCGGCGGCATGGCGGACGACGATCCGTTCCGGTTCACGCTGGCCGGCGACGTCACGAGAGCGGCGGAGGAAATGGCCGCGCTCCGAGGAGCCCGGCCGGCGTTCCGACGGGCGGTGGCGTCTCGCCTCAGCGAGGCCGGCTACGACGCCGCCGTGTGCCGGACGAGGTGGCGCGCGGCGCGCGACGTGGCCGCGGGGAACTACGAGTACATCGACGTGGTGGTGACCGCGGTCACCGCCGCCGGCGCCGGCGCAGCGAAATCCGCCGCGCACGGCGCGGAGCGGCGGTACATCGTCGACGTCGGGTTCGCGGCGGAGTTCGCCGTGGCGCGTCCGACGGTGGGCTACGACGAGCTGGTGCTGTCCGCCCTCCCGGCCATCCTGGTCGCTCCGCCGACGGTGGCGCGGGAGGCGGTGACGCTGGCGGCCAAGGCGGCGCGGCGGTCGATCAAGAGCCAGGGGCTCGCCGTGCCGCCGTGGCGGAAGAAGCGGTTCGTGGCGGCCAAGTGGCTCGGCCCGTACCGCCGGACGCCGCCTCACGACGCGGCCACCGCCGGTGCAGCTGGAGGCGCCGGAGAAGCGGCGTGCCGCACGGTGGGGTTCATGCTTGGACCACCTATACAGCCATGGGCCATGGCTAGTAGTAAGTGTTGTTTTGTAAGCATGCGAGCTGCAGCCAATCAGCCATGCACGTATGATGTAATGGTGTGGGAATGATTAATCGGCGGAATAGTGTGGAGGCATCCGCATCGGCATCGGGGACGGAATGTGCGCGCGGCGGGCGGTTCACGGTGGGATCGATCGTTTCGCGGAGGCGCCGTCACAATCCGTACCTGCGGTGGGGCCGTGCGTTTGTCAATTATTGTCTTGTCGGTTGTCACTGAAATACTTCATGGTGACGGCGATGACCATGTAATATTAAATGTATCACATCTTTATTATAAATTTGGATAGACTTTTCTCTAAATTAATAGCATTAGAATGTATTACATCAGTAACTTATTTTGGTACGGAGTAGCTAGCTAGCTTGCTTTATATATACTAGCATGGTAGCCCGCGCAGATTACGCAGCTAGCATCATTATATTTTCTCTCATATAATAGCATATATGTTTTCTCATTATATTATTCAAATATATTAAAATGACAACACAATTTTAAATTTTGCAATAACTTTACAAAACTACTAATATGTAATATTCATATTATATTTTATATACGTGTTAATTATTAATTATTTTTAATATCAAATTTTAGTTATTTGTAAATTATATATATTCCTATATAGACTCTAGACTCGTCTTTTAATATTTATTATTTTTAATTCCGAATTTTCTGTAAATTGTATTTATATATGGTCAAGTTTGTTATGAGGAAACATTATAATATTACACTAGCGTAACTATTTTAGATTTATGAAAAAGAATTAAGCAGCCAAAGCTATGTCTTACTGAATTTAAAAACTCCAAAATGACATTCTTATCCGAATCGAGGCCTCGAGGGAGTAAGGAATCTCCCACGAGATGTACAACTACAAGGGACCTCCTTTCCAACTGTGCTAACTCCTCAGCCATGAAAAATATTACAAGACATCATCTTCTCGATGTTGAGCTAAACAGTCGAACTAGCATTCGGGGCCAGCACTAAAATCTTGAAGAGGGAAAACCTTCTATACTAACGAATGCAAAAACTGAACCCAAACGATAAAATTCCTCAAATCGACAGCCATTCGTCGCGGGTACATCAGGAACAAATAGAAAATACCTCAGAGACAATCAGTAACTCAATATCACACTCCCGATTCCAGTACGAAAATCGTTAAGAATCCTGTCTCTAACCAAGCAATGAAACAAAAATGTTCAACAGATGGAGACGTCGGCAATGCATCAAACAGCTCATCCGCACACCGCTCATGTTTCCCTTAGAAGCCATTCCGCACAAGCCTAGCGCACCAACTAGCCCCGCGAACCCTCACACCAAACCTCCAGCGGAGGCAGGGAGCCCCAGCCCGTGGGGCGGCGTTCGTACCTTGACCATGTCGATGGGCTGGATGACGCAGGTGGCGAGCATCCCGGAGGCGCCGCCGTTGGCGAAGGGCTTCACCGTCTTCCACACCCCGCTCGCCGCCGCCGCCGTCGCCGCCTGCGGCTGCTGCTGCTGCTGCTTCGCCTCCGCCATCTCCTCCTCCTCCTCGCTCTCCTGTGCCGCGCGCTGCTGCAGTTTGGGACTCCCGGAGAAGAGGAAGAGGCAGTGGTGGTGGTGGGAGTGGGAAGGAGGCGAGAGAGACGCGTGTCCAATCCATGGGCGCTCGCAATGCCGAGGAGAGCCACGAATAATATTAAAGTATTCTTCTCTTTTTTTTTAATCTTTTTCCGCGACGTTTTTCTCGTCTCTCATTTTTCTTGGTAGGATCATTCTCTGCATGGTCTGTATCATCCGCGTGCTGCGTGCAGCCGTCCACACACCATTGAATGTTTCGTCATCTTAGGAAGAAAGTTTGTGTTTTATTGTTCAAATAAAAGTTTGATGTTGGTACGTGTGTTCGTACTTACGGTTAATGTTTTGTCTCTACATTATATCCACAACTAAATACACCATTCACGTCAGTCAAAATGTCTCTCCTAATATTTAGTAAAAGAGATGGCTGTGATATAAAAAAAGAAATATAAAATATTCTCAAACATTATGAGAAGAAAATAAAAAGAAAAAGGAGAAAAGGAGTGTATGTTCACCAATGTTCTTATGCAGCATGAGAGAAATATAGTTTGAACAAAAATAGTCATATGTCCAATTAGGAATAAAAAGAATCTATGGCAAAGTAGTACCAGTGGGCGTTCGGTTTTTATAGTTTTCTTAGTTCGGTGTTTTTTGTTTGAAAAAGGTCGGTTTTCGATACGTAAAATCTAAATCGATAGCGCTCTCGTTTTTTTTTCCTATCGAGTAACACCGATCATATGTGAGAGAACTAGTACTATACATCTATAATTTGCTATCAGGTCATACATGTCTTTTTTACTTCTTATAGAATTTTCTGTTAAAATACTTATCCGATTTCCTATCTGGTTGGACTGTTGTATTCATTGCAACAAAATCTTTATAACAAGATCTCAAATGATTATATTCTAATAAAAAATATGTATGCATTTTAAAATTACTTTTTAGACATTTATGAAAGAAAATTCAATAAAACATAAAAGTAATTTACATAAGTCATAAAAGTAATTTAGCACAAATGGAATTAAGTTGTCACGATATTAGAAGTAAATCCGTTCTAAGGGTAAAAACATGAGTCAATCTAGACTTTGGAGAGTGAGGTCACTTGTTATGACAATCGAGTGCGCACTCTCCTCGTAGTCGTGGTCTCCTTTTTGGTAGTTGCGAACCGAAATTTTCAAATATAAGAGCAAGTTTAGTAGTATAGTCAATTACTAGTTCCAAATCGTCACACATTATGTCTTATAGCCCGTGCTGCAGCTGGCTACAAATTTGTATCCCGCTGCTTATCTGTTTTATTTCATCTACTCGATATGTGTTTATAGCTGGCTTATAGTGTGTTATTGTACCTACCTAACAAACAAACCGACCAAAACAAGCCAAACCACTTCGGCTCGGTTCTCGGTAAAACCGAGCGAAGGGCTGATGGGTGCAGGGCGCTCCTAATGAGCGACTGGTCGCGCGGGAGCGTGGGCGCGCGACCAGTTCGCTCAGGGGCAGAGCCCAATGAACCAGGGGGTGCCCAGGAACCCGGCCCAATATTTAAAATACCTTGTTACCCTCATATCTACATCATGGAGGCACCACCCTAGCCCAACACAGGGAACCCCTCTCCTCTCGTCCGGCCCAAATTTGAAAGACCCAACCGGAAAAAAGCCCCAAAACCAAAAATTACGCAGTGGGAGACACTAAAACGCCTAGCGCACAGGCGTGGCTGATGCGGCGTCGCTTCCCATCGAAGCCTCACGTGATATCAAAGCGGTAGTTTCGATTTTCTCGCCTGAGTCGCCTCAACGCCCAATCTCTCTCCTCGCTCTCGTCTGACCTGTCGCCTCTCCCTGGAGGTCACCCTTGCCTCGCCGGGGACCTAGCCCGGCAGCCCCAATCGGGGAAATTTCTCATGTGTAAAGCCTCTCCCTGGTAGGTTGCCTCTTTTTTCCAATTTTTTGCACTGATCAGGCTAGGGCTTGCAACTATAGAGGCATACAGAGGTAGATGACAGGGGCAGGAGGAGGAGGACTGGAGGAGGACGGCGGCAAGCTGCAAGCTAGCAACGGCCAATAGCTGGAGCTTGCCGGCTGCCGGCTCGCCCTAGCTTACCAATCTACTCTGAGCCCCACAAAAATTGCAGCCAGCAGCACTAGCTGAGGGCAAGTGTTATGGTAGATATGACTACTACAATTAAATTTATCCACATCATTCACTCATAAATTAAGAGGCAACCTATACACTATGTCTCCTCTAGTACACAAATACCAATGTCTCTTATACTCTCACACCCCTCTTGAAATTTGTGTGGAGGTTGCCTTTTCATTTAGGGGTGGTTCACCATCTCTCTCCTCACTTCTCTCCTCCACCTCATCGCTCAATCCAATGTGGCACATTTAGGGGCAGCATATGGAGCATTATAGTACTTGCCCTGAGAGCAACTGAATAAGTGAACTCTTTCTCTCAATTTTTCTTATCCTTAGTTTGTAGTTTTGTGCCAAAATAAACTTGAAAATTTTTATTTGGTCTTAATAGATTGCTATATAGCACCGGATAGTACGAACAATATGAAGAAATTTGTTTTATTTTGTACCAAATCATTTCATAACTTATTTTCTGTTGAGAATTAAACTATATTTTCGAAGTCATTGTCCTATGGAGGAATGAAGACGTTGACATTCGCATGATATATTCATAAGATTTTGTTAATGGAGGTCTTTGTCAATGGTTGAACCATTATCAACTTCACAAATATTATTAGTTGATTTCTTTATTAGGGTACGCATTTTTTAACTCTTTTTTATGTATTTCTTGTGGTATATTATCTTCAAATGAAGAAATAATGCTTATATTTATTGGTATGCAACTATTTAATATAATATCACCCTATAACTGTAGTTGTCATTATTACGTAAAGAAAAGTAGAAACCCCTCGTCTTTTCTCTAGCTCCGCCCCTGAGTTCGCTCCTACTACCGCTGGTGCTATACTGCTCTTCTAGTAGTACTACTACTCCTACTCCTACTGCTCCTACCGCTAGTGCTGCTCTGCTCCTGCTACTACTACTGGCGTGCGCTGCTGCTACTAGTCTACTACAGTAGTAGTAGTACTACTATAACAATACTATACGTGTATATATACATATGTATATACTTTATATAAACTTTATATTGATAAAATATAAATTTTTTACATGTGTATATAAAGTATATATAATTTTTATGTGTACCAAAATATTAACGTATAAAAAATATACATATATACAAACTTTGCATATGTGTATATAAACTTTACATATGCATATACAAACTTTGTATATGTATATATTAAAAACCGAGAGAAAAAAAACACGAATACAAACTTTGTATGCGTACAAATACAAAATTTGGTATACGTACAAATACAAAATTTGGTATACATATAAATATAAACTTTGCATACGTACATCTTAAAAAACCGAAAAAAGGAAGAGAAAAAAACCGGAAAAACCAAAACAGAAAGGAAGAGAAATGAAAAAAAACTAAAACAGAAAAACCAAAAAAAAAATCACTCGCACGGGCGCCGGCGCCCTCCGCGGGCGACACGTGTCTAGTCACGCGGGCGACACGTGTCTAGTCACGCGGGCGACACGTGTCTAGTCACGCGGGCGACATATGTCCAGTCACGCGGGGAGGGTGCGCGCGACTGGTCGCCGAGGGGAGCGTGCTAGAGTTGGATCGCGATGGCCTGGGCGCAATGGCTTCAGCGACTGCGGCTAGATGGGCTAGCAGCCGTGGACTTCCTATATGTGGGCTGTGAAAAATTGTAGTAGATGGGCCTTAATAGTGGTGTGGGCTTGAATTAGAAAGAGAACAAGGAAGATTGCAGCCTAGTTTGGATTAGGATTATACGGTATGTTCAGGTTCCACCTTCTAAACACCGAGCCGAACACCGAACTCCGATCTAAGTAAAAAACAACACCTAAAAAAGAACGATACCCCCCAAAAAACCAT